AGATGCAAAGATCCTCAATAAAATATCAGCAAACCAAATTCAACAATATACTAAAAGGATCATTCACCATGATCAAACAAGATTTACTGTAGGAATGCAGGGTGGTTCAACATCTGTGAAGCAAACACGATACACCACTAACAAAATGAAGGACAACAATCACATGATCATCTCAATAGACACAGAAAAAGCATTTGACAGAATTTAATATCTACTTATGATAAAAATCTCAACTAAGTGGGCATGGGGTAACAAATTTCAACATAATAATGACCATGCACGACAAACCCACAGCTAACAGCATAGTCAATAGTGAACAGCTGAAAATTTTTCCCCTAAGATTAGGAATAAGGCAAGAATGCCCACTCTCAGCACATTTATTCAAAACAGTACCAGAAGTAATATCATAGGTTAAGAGAAGGAAAAAGAAATAAATGGAATCCAAATTGGTAAGGAAGAAGTAAAACTATCTCTATTTGCAGATGACATGACACTATATACAAAAAACCCTAAAGACTCCACCAAAAAACTACTAAAATAAATGAATTCAGTAAAGTTGTAGGATACAAAATTAATATACACTAATAATGAACTACCAGAAGGAGCATTTAAGAAAACAACTGCATCTACAAATGCATAAAAAATAATAAAATACCTAGGAATAAATATAACCAAGGAGGAGAAAGACCTATACTCTGAAAACTATAACATTGATGAAAGAAACTGAAGATGACACAAATAAATGGAAAGATATACCATTCTAATTGGTTAGAAGAACTAATAATATTGTTAAAATGTCCACAGTAACCAAAGCAATCTACAAATTTAATGCAGTCCCTATCAAAACACCAATGGCATTTTTCACAGAACTAGAACAAATAATCCTAAAACTTACACGGAACCACAAAAGACCCCAAATAGCCAAAGCAATCTTGAGAAAAGAGAACAATGCTGGCAGTATCTGACACCCAGACCTCAAAATATACTACAAAGCTAAGTAATCAAAACAGTGGTTTACTGGCAAAAAGACAGAAACATAGATCAATGAAACAGAAAAGACAGTCCACAGAAATAAACCCAGGCTTATATGGTCAATTGATATATTACAACAGAGGGAAGAATATATACTAGGGGAAAAGACAGTCTCTTTAACAAATGGTGTTGGCAAAACTGGAGAGCTACATGCAAAAGAATGAAACTGGGCTATTGTCTTAAGCCATATACAAAACTAATTTCAAAATGGATTAAAGACCTAAATGTAGGACCTGAACCCATAAAATTTCTAGAACAGACAGTAACCTCTTGGACATTGGTCTTAGCAATAGATTTTTGGACTTGTCTCCTCAGGCAACAAAAGCAAAAATCAACAATTGGGACTATATCAAGAAAAAAGCTTTTGCATAGCAGCAGATACCATCAACAAAATAAAAAGAGAATTTACTGAATGAGAATTTATTTGCAAATGATATATCTGATAAGATCCAAAATATATAAAGAACTCATACAACTCAACACCAAAGAAAAATAGCAATTAAAAAACAGGCAGAGGATCTGAATATACATTTACCAAAGAAAACATACAGATGGCCAATGGACATGAAAAGATGATCAATATCATTAATCATTAGGGAAATACAAATAAAAACCACAAGGAGATATCACTTCACAGCTATCAGAATGGCTATTATCAAAAAGACAAGAAATAAGTGTTAGTAAGGATGTGGAAAAAAGAGAACCCTTTCACTGATGGTGGGAATGCACACTGGTACAGCCGCTATGGAAAATGGTATGTAGGGTCCTCAAAAAATTTAAAATAGAAATACCTTAAAACCCAGGAAATTCATTTCTGGGTATTTTCCAAAGAAAATGAAAACACTAATTGGAAAAGATAAATGCACCCCTGTATTTATTGAGGTATTATTTATAATAGTCAAGATTTGGAAGCAACTTAAGTGTCCATTGGTAAATGAATGGGTAAAGAATATACGATTCGAACGTAAGAACATGTTGACATACATGTCAACAACACGGATGAACTTAGAGGGTATTATGCTAAGTAAAATAAGTTACAAAAAGAAATACTGTATGATTTCACTTAAATGTGGAATCAAAAAAACAAAACACAACAAACAGAACAGAACAGACTCACAAATACATGAACAAACTGGTGGTTGCTAGAGGGGAGAGGGTGGGAGGATGGAAAAAATAAGAGAAAGGGATTAAGAGGTACAAACTTCCAGTTATAAAATAAGTAAGTCATGGGGATGTAAAAAGGCACAGGGAATATAGACAATTGTACTGTAATAATTGTGTGGTGACAGATGGTAACTAGACTTATTGTGGTAATCATTTCATAATATATGTAAATGTCAAATCACTATATTGTATACCTGAAACTAATGTAATAGTCTATGTCAACTACACTTCAATGAAAAAAAAGGTTAAAGAAACACATTACAAAATTGAAAAAAAAAAAACATTAAGTTTTCAGCCAGCTCTATTCTAATAAGACATTTCCAGCGCTCTCAGATCATCATTCCTCTCATCAAACTTTTTACCTGAAACTCCTCTGCAAAGTTATCACAGCAGATGGAAGCTTCTTTAATCTCTTTCTAGTTTGGAAACCCTTCCAATAAGCTTGAATCAAGCAAGCTGCTTGATGTAGTTTCTGAAATTAAAGGCCAGAATCAATTTAGAGACATCGCTAAGAAAATATTTTTTAGAAGTTTACCTCTTAAAAGTATCAGGCATAGGCAAGTATTAACTTTCATCACTAATAAGTTGGGCAGGAGGCAAACATTTTCATAGGCCCAGGAAACGGAAGGCCAAGGCATACTAAACCCAACCTCCCAAAGGAGGTACATTAGGCCTTGGCAATTTCTACAATGTATTCAGAATAGAGCCTGATTAGGTCCAAATTCTCCCTGATTAATCTCACCTCCACTCCCTTTACAAGGATTTCATAGTTCTACTTGCTTATTGCTTTAGCCTCTTTGCTTCACTTCTTGTGCCTGGCCTCATTTATTCAAGGATTCAAGGGTAAGAACTTTTTGTACAGGCAAAGTGAAAAAAAAGGCTCTGGGGTTAAAAATTCAGCCTATAAATAATGCCTTCCCCATCAAACTATGGTTGCTCTCAATGTTAGAGGGAAGTAAGTACAGAAAGAGGGAGAGAGAGCAAAGAAAAAAATTCAAGAGGCCACCATTCTCCAATATTTTGAATGTAATATGTTCAATGAAATGTTAGCAAATATCATGCAAACTGGTTTTATAATTTAATACCTGATCTTCTATTTCCTGAGATATCTTTGGGCTTAAAAGGCCAATGAGCTGTCTAAGTTCTTGACTGAACTCTGTCCCAGGCTCCTGCTTATACAGTAGGCTTGTAAGCCCTGAAATGGAATAACAAAGGTACAACTATTAATAATAAAATATGATGTTATCTAATCAGTATTTTTTACTGGCAAAAAGACAGAAACATAGATCAATGAAACAGAAAAGACAGTCCACAGAAATAAACCCAGGCTTATATGGTCAATTGATATATTACAACAGAGGGAAGAATATATACTAGGGGAAAAGATAGTCTCTTTAACAAATGGTGTTGGCAAAACTGGAGAGCTACATGCAAAAGAATGAAACTGGGCTATTGTCTTAAGCCATATACAAAACTAATTTCAAAATGGATTAAAGACCTAAATGTAGGACCTGAACCCATAAAATTTCTAGAACAGACAGTAACCTCTTGGACATTGGTCTTAGCAATAGATTTTTGGACTTGTCTCCTCAGGCAACAAAAGCAAAAATCAACAATTGGGACTATATCAAGAAAAAAGCTTTTGCATAGCAGCAGATACCATCAACAAAATAAAAAGAGAATTTACTGAATGAGAATTTATTTGCAAATGATATATCTGATAAGATCCAAAATATATAAAGAACTCATACAACTCAACTCCAAAGAAAAATAGCAATTAAAAAACAGGCAGAGGATCTGAATATACATTTACCAAAGAAAACATACAGATGGCCAATGGACATGAAAAGATGATCAATATCATTAATCATTAGGGAAATACAAATAAAAACCACAAGGAGATATCACTTCACAGCTATCAGAATGGCTATTATCAAAAAGACAAGAAATAAGTGTTAGTAAGGATGTGGAAAAAAGAGAACCCTTTCACTGATGGTGGGAATGCACACTGGTACAGCCGCTATGGAAAATGGTATGTAGGGTCCTCAAAAAATTTAAAATAGAAATACCTTAAAACCCAGGAAATTCATTTCTGGGTATTTTCCAAAGAAAATGAAAACACTAATTGGAAAAGATAAATGCACCCCTGTATTTATTGAGGTATTATTTATAATAGTCAAGATTTGGAAGCAACTTAAGTGTCCATTGGTAAATGAATGGGTAAAGAATATACGATTCGAACGTAAGAACATGTTGACATACATGTCAACAACACGGATGAACTTAGAGGGTATTATGCTAAGTAAAATAAGTTACAAAAAGAAATACTGTATGATTTCACTTAAATGTGGAATCAAAAAAACAAAACACAACAAACAGAACAGAACAGACTCACAAATACATGAACAAACTGGTGGTTGCTAGAGGGGAGAGGGTGGGAGGATGGAAAAAATAAGAGAAAGGGATTAAGAGGTACAAACTTCCAGTTATAAAATAAGTAAGTCATGGGGATGTAAAAAGGCACAGGGAATATAGACAATTGTACTGTAATAATTGTGTGGTGACAGATGGTAACTAGACTTATTGTGGTAATCATTTCATAATATATGTAAATGTCAAATCACTATATTGTATACCTGAAACTAATGTAATAGTCTATGTCAACTACACTTCAATGAAAAAAAAGGTTAAAGAAACACATTACAAAATTGAAAAAAAAAAAACATTAAGTTTTCAGCCAGCTCTATTCTAATAAGACATTTCCAGCGCTCTCAGATCATCATTCCTCTCATCAAACTTTTTACCTGAAACTCCTCTGCAAAGTTATCACAGCAGATGGAAGCTTCTTTAATCTCTTTCTAGTTTGGAAACCCTTCCAATAAGCTTGAATCAAGCAAGCTGCTTGATGTAGTTTCTGAAATTAAAGGCCAGAATCAATTTAGAGACATCGCTAAGAAAATATTTTTTAGAAGTTTACCTCTTAAAAGTATCAGGCATAGGCAAGTATTAACTTTCATCACTAATAAGTTGGGCAGGAGGCAAACATTTTCATAGGCCCAGGAAACGGAAGGCCAAGGCATACTAAACCCAACCTCCCAAAGGAGGTACATTAGGCCTTGGCAATTTCTAGAATGATTTCAGAATAGAGCCTGATTAGGTCCAAATTCTCCCTGATTAATCTCACCTTCACTCCCTTTACAAGGATTTCATAGTTCTACTTGCTTATTGCTTTAGCCTCTTTGCTTCACTTCTTGTGCCTGGCCTCATTTATTCAAGGATTCAAGGGTAAGAACTTTTTGTACAGGCAAAGTGAAAAAAAAGGCTCTGGGGTTAAAAATTCAGCCTATAAATAATGCCTTCCCCATCAAACTATGGTTGCTCTCAATGTTAGAGGGAAGTAAGTACAGAAAGAGGGAGAGAGAGCAAAGAAAAAAATTCAAGAGGCCACCATTCTCCAATATTTTGAATGTAATATGTTCAATGAAATGTTAGCAAATATCATGCAAACTGGTTTTATAATTTAATACCTGATCTTCTATTTCCTGAGATATCTTTGGGCTTAAAAGGCCAATGAGCTGTCTAAGTTCTTGACTGAACTCTGTCCCAGGCTCCTGCTTATACAGTAGGCTTGTAAGCCCTGAAATGGAATAACAAAGGTACAACTATTAATAATAAAATATGATGTTATCTAATCAGTATTAACTTGAGGCTAAAATTTTTATATACTCACTTGTGAAACTTGATGAAAAACCTGTCTAGTAAATCTCTAATTAAAAAAAGGTTAAGCAGAATCATTGTGGTAAGTCAAATAGAGATATAAAATATTTTTTTGTTTGAACCCAATTACCTTAAACTTTTTAGAAAAGATAATGCATACTGAGCAAATGCTTACTCTGTGAAAGTACTTAAACAGGTTATTATTAGTCATTATTATAGGAAGTTATTAAATAAAAATGTATAGTAATGTATGTAATTTGGGGCAACTCAGTAGTTTTTGAACAAATATTGTTAAGAGAAGTGCTATAACACTAAAATACTGCATTTTCATACCAAAATAAAACAGAGTAGTAATATGAGGTACAAAGTAAGTACTACTTCCAAGGCATGTTGGAATGATTTATTATAATTTATGTATTCAATCTAAATAAGCAGGTAAAATGGCCTTGGACTGTACAACTGCAGAAGCCACTATACAGATATTTCTTTACCTTTTATTCTCTTTAAGACTCAAGTTTCCAGAACCATTAATAATTATAAAGTATCTTGAGAAAATGGAACAATTCTACTATTGAAAAAAGAAAGGGAGATGGATTGTTAGAGTGAAATTTCTTTATAATGAACTTTCTTGGACATTCACATTTCTATAGAAGAAATCTAATTACAGAATTTAAAAATGTCTACTTAGCACAGTATCAACTAGAGAGTTCTATTACTGGTACTTTCCCTCTCTACTCATATAATATAAAATAATGACAATGCTCAGTAATGGCTGATGCAAGGTAAGCTACTCAAGTGCCTTCAAAGTCATCAAGAATGATTAAAGGCTACTGTAATACTTTTGGTATTAAATGCATCACATTATACTCTAATCTTTAAAATTTTTCATATAACCCTGTATTAATAAGTATATTTAATAAGCAAGAAACCTATTTCCTGACATGTTGAATAAGAAAATATACTGTTATGAATTCATGGCTCTGGCTTGCAAAGAAATAAAACAAAGTTAACATATAACTTCCATTGGCAATTAGAAAAAAAAAGACACTATCTGTGTGATGTTGGGTAAATTATCTAATTTTTCTGTACCTGTTTCCACTGCTATAAAATGAGGATAGGAATAAATACCTCATAGGGTTGTTATGAAGACTGTTTTAATGCACATAATGTAGAATAATATGTTACATAGTAAATGCTCAATTAAATGAAAGTTAATAAATGGGGATGGTAATATACTTAGCCCTTTCCTCCCCAAAATATCTGAACTTTTACTCACAACCACATTTGCTGGAGGTGAGGAAGATTTTTGTTTGTTTTTGAGGAAAGTCAGAGAAGGAGTTAAAGAGTAATTATGAATTGGTGTGAAGTTCAAAAGGGTTGTCAATCTCTTGAGCACAGCTCTATTTTCTCCAGTGAAGTTATTAGTCTTCATAAGTTCACTAGTCTTTCTGTTCATTATTTTACTACACTATATAGTATATTCAATACACAACTTTTTTGTCAGAGAGGGAGTATATATTCATTGTAACCTCATCAACAAAGCACCGTACATCATCTGTTGAGAAATAAAGATAGCTTGATTACATAGACTTTTTCCTGAATTGCTATCTGTTTTAATAGGGTGTTATCGGCACACTTCAGTTGACTTTTTCAAAACATAGATATTTTGTTTTGTTTCCCATAAACTATCAATTAAAAAAATCTTTTTGAGAATCTCAAGAAAAGAAAGAATATATACACTACCTTTGTAGCATGCACTTAGTCTCAATAAAATTAAAATTTCCTGATGGGATTCAGCCATCAACAGTAGGAGCTTTGCAGCAGTACTTCTTATGACTGGACTAGGGGTTGACAAAAGTTTGAGAACAATCTCATCTAAAATTGAATGCAGGGTTCTTCTTTCTATTCTGAGTAAATCACCACTAATAGAACAATATAAAGAGATGAAGAGTATACCATTACTAATTGATGTATAGGTATCATAACAAATTAAATAAAAGGTTCAGCAACTTGATGTTTAACTGTGGTCTGATCCAAGAAGATAATCCATATTTTAAAAGTATACCTTAGTTCCAAGAATGCATCACATTAAATCAATTAATAGTTATTGAATTCTTGCTGTGTGCAAGGCACCATGCTAGGTAAAATAGGGGAATACAAAGTAGCCAAAGGCCCTCTCCTTAAAAAAATCTGCAATCAAATTGCAGAGGAAAGATAAAGGTACAAAATATTAAATAGAAGATTCAAAAGCTTCAAGGCAACAAAAAGAGGAAAATCACAAGACAGTACATGGTTCATTGCTTAACGATGTATGAAGACAAAAACACTATATTCAATTATCAGGTACTTAATATAGGAGTAACTTTATCTTTCCTCTGGTTTTTCCTTTGTTACATTAACAGCCTCATCTTGCATTACTGCCGTCATGAAAACTTATCTGAAACTTACAAATGGTCAAAAAGGATTATGGGATGTCCTTTAACACATACTCTTAAGCAATATGTGATTTTTTAGGGATATGTACTTTTTTTGACTATCTATTTACTATTGATTAAAATATTTTCCAATTCTGTAAAAGTAGAGGTTGGCTTGTAGAAAATGAGTAATAGCCACGACTCCTATCTGAAAGCAATGCAAACTGATTCTCACTCAATATAAATGACTTTTGTTGACTAGAAAAAGAAACTGTAAAGGTTACTATCTACTGTTTTATAAGACATTAATCAGTTTATCTATTACAAATTCATTTCTACATCCCTATGACAAACTAACTCTGTTAAGTCTCCCTTCCTTAAATTCTCCTTTGAACCTATCTATATAATTATCTTACCAGTTCCCTCATTAACTAATGAGTTGAATAAAATTTTTGATCTGTTAATTTTATTTGCTTAAGAGTCATGTTTTTAATTTCTTGAAAATTGTAGTTCAGCAATGGCCAAAATGATTTTAAGAGAAAAAGAGATCAGTATCCTATCCTACGTTAGAAATCACGGATAGAAAGAGACTTTAAAGGTCATCCAACCAAAAATGTGGGAATCTTTGTGACACCTTTTCCTGTACCACCTTGGCTTTTACGCTGTACCCTGTGCCTAGTATGCCCACCCCTTTCCCTTGTACCATTCAGTGTTATCACCCTATTCAAAACTCAGGTCAAAAACATGCTCATTTCTGGAAGTCTTCCAGATATATCCCTAACTCAATCTGATCATTTGTTTATAGTCTACATCCCACAATAAAGGTTATACTATATTGCAAAACACTAACTGGTTTAAATGTTTTTAATTGCTCTTTAATATCCTAACCCTAAAAATCATCTTCTGTAGGACACTACCTACCTACCATGTTATCTTTCTGCATCTCTTCTCATTGAAACTTCCCTATCTCTACTTTCTCACCTCCCATTTATTTCTCAAATCACTTCATTTGGTTTTCTGAGCACTACTTTACTAAAACTGTCATTGATAAGTATCTCATCAATACAAATTCGTAAATGCCAAGTGCTTATTTTCTTTGACCTCTCTATCTGTACCTGATATTCTCTACCTAGTCAGCTTCTGTGCTACAATGCTCTTCTGGTACTCCCCTCCATCTTCTACCCACAGCTTTCTGATCATTCCTTCTCATTCTTCACTTCCCCAGGATTCCATTTTCAGCCCATTTTCTTTTTCACTTTATTCATATTTCCCACTGAACTCATCTTCTCTCATGTTTATAACTATCGTTATAGACTGATCACTCAGCAATCTATAACTTGAGTCCAGATCTCTTCCAGAAGTTACAGTTTATCTATTCACCAATGAACACTTAAGTTCATTAAGTGTTCATTAAAGCTCATTAAAGTCTTATCTTTGGTTTTATAAATAAAGCTGCTATGAACATTTGTATACAAGTCTTTGCATGGGCTCTTATTCCACTGCCTATTGAATATATCTATTTATGTTCAACAAAACCAACATTGAATTCATCATGTCTCCCTAATCCAACTGCTTATATTATTGTTTTGGTTATACCACTATCTATCTAATCACCAAATAGAGAAAACTTGGTGCCATACCTGAATGAACCACTTATTTTATCCCTATCAAAATGCTCAAGTGGAGCTGTTTTGTTCTCCCCGGACTCTCAGTTCTCTCTCTTCAACTCAGCCTGGTGGATATACCCTTCTGCACCACAGCCTGGAAACTCTTGATGCTATTTCTCCCTGGGAAATTGCTAGGTTCACTTCATTCATTTATTTTTCTCAGTGCTCACTTTCTTTCACTGACTGAAGTTTGGTTTCTTGAAAACTGTTGTTTTATATGTTGCCTGGTGTTTATTTTTCTCAAGTAGTAGGGTAAATCCACTTTTGTTAATCCATCTCAATCATAAAGGGAAGTGAAGTCCTGATGATTTCAATTTTGTTCTGTTTTGCTTTTTTAGTTTTAAAAAGTTTTGCAGTTTCTATATTGGGTTACATACAAATGTGCAAATCTTAGTGTACACCTTAATGAATTGTGACATATGTATATATTCATGTAACCATTACCCAGATCAAGGTATCAAGTATTGTAATTTTTTTCATCAATTTAAAAAACCCATTCATTTTAAAATCCATTTGGTGCCAGTGCCTAAGGCTAAGCTACTGTCACTATGGTGGCTTCTACTAATTTCCTTCTTTATCTAGAGTTTTGTCCCCCTTAAAACTTTCCCCAAACAGTGACCAGAGTGATATAAGTGACATGTAATCTGACCATGTTCATACACTTAATTCTTTCATGGTCTCCACTGCCTGTATACAGTATAAGACTTAGTTTCCTTAACACAGCATATAAGCTCTTCATGACTTAAGTCTGTAGAACTTATTAGGTACCTTTACATACCAAACTTCAAATTCCAGCAACAATAAATTTTACCTACTTTTCACCCTCAGCATGTTGTTTCTTGTCTCAGTGCATTTGCTTGTGTTGTTACCTTTGCCTAGAAATACTGCTTTCTTTCCTTCCTCCCTGGCTGATTTTTCAGCCTAAGGCTTTCATCTCAGGTGTTACCTAATCCAGGAACCATTACCCCTCAGTTTGGGTTAGAAGCTCCTTTAACATTTGTGCACATCTTTAACATTTTAGCTTATATACTGTAATTATGTTCATATGTTTCTTCCACTATACCATAAGCTATTTGAAGATATTGTTTGTATCTTAATCTTTGTAAACTTTGTAAACCCAGTAACAGACATATACTTGGCACACAAAAGATGCTTATAAATCTATACTGAACTGAAAGAAAAAATTATTTAAACTGTGTATACTCTGCTTTTCTACTTTAACCTGGCAAAATTGCCTATTTCTTCTTTTCCTTTTATAGCACCTGGCAAAATATTGAGCTTGCAGTTTGCCATACATGCCACCTATGATTAAGTATTTTTTATTGTGATCCCAATATTTTTCTTCAGATATCAAAGTAATTTTTCTTCTCTAAGCCTGAGATTTGGTGTAAAATCTTCTTAAGCTCTAAGATAACATACCAATTTGGTAATAAATTTCCAGTCTTTTAGAGTATTTTATATTCATTTTTTTCTGAAAGACAATGATAATAGTAGAGATTTTTAAGTATCATGTAAAAGTCATATGCAGTCAATGATTTCAACAAAACTTGAATAAAACTGGTAATGCTTCTGATCAAAAATTAAAAATTACAAATATTTTGTAAAACCAACTACCTATTGATCTGCAGTATGCTCTGTAACATGGTCATGACTGTAGATCCTATTTGAACATCGTCAGTTTGCAGTAAGTGCAAGAAATGATCACTTTGTAGTACTAAAAGAGGAGAAAAAAGGAGAGATTAAAACAAAGATTCTATGATGATACAATCAGGATTTACTTGTCCTTTCAAAACCAAGTCAAAGTATGACCATTTCTGCTAAACATGCTGCCTTTGCATACTTTACAGTAAAGAAGATTTTTAGACAGTTTCAATAAACATAAATAGTCACTCCAATTTTATAAACTGTTATAGTCAGGGTACATCCACAAATACGAAGCTAAGAATCTACTGTTATCTCCCCTTGAATTAAAAATAAAATATATCCCAAATCGGAATCACTTTTCCTAGCAGTGAATTTCAGTAAATAAAATAAATTTCCTGTGAAGGAGAATGTGAAGGAATGGAAATGGTACAGAGGACTGTAATTAGTAGCTCACATTCTGTTTTATAATTTAGAATGCTTGTTAATAATGAAATCATTAACAACAAAACAATATTTGTTTTTAGGGTGGTTTACAATTTTTAGGCTCTAAATAGTCAGTTATGAAGATTTGGCATTGGATGCTTACATAAACTGCTTAACCTCTCAGAATACCCATTTCTTCATTTGTAAAACTAGAAATAATAGGCTCTCACAGAGTGCTACAGAATGTCATAGAATAGGACAGGTTCCCAGTAAATGTGTTTCTATTCTCTTTGTCACTAACTAGAATTCACTAGAATCAGGATTCTAATTAAAGTGGGATGAGGTATGTTGGCAAATAGCTCTGTGAACACTACCCTAGCTTCTACAAAACAACTTTACACTTTCTTTCTCCTGAGGGAATGTATTTGATTTCTTTTGGATACTAACTACAGTTCTTTATTTCTATTTACATAGTCTAACATTTCAGTATTTTACTAACGAAAATAACAATTCTTAATGTTTCACAACTTTAAAAAACAATTCTCCTACTATTAAAATTTCCATGGCCTCTTATTTTCTATTACTTCAATAATAAAAAAATTATTTTCTTCTCAGTGTATTATTCCATTTTTGTCCACTTAAAGGCATTAATAACTATTTAATTACCTTTGAATTCACTGTGATCATGTACTAAGTAGTATGTATGTAAGTTTATCTTTTTTTCTACATTGGAAAAATTTTTTAAATAATTTACTAAATAGTCATTCCACTTTATTCTTTATATCGTTTGCCTTATAATGTATTATTATATAACTTATTTATAACAAACCAAGTCTAAAATATAACTGTAACCTTTGAAACTTAAAAAATTTTCCCCTAGATTAATGTAGGATTTGCTAAATGGAAAAAGCTAAGGTAAAAGTTATATTTTAGAAATTTTTCCATTATAATATCTACATTGTCAATATTGGCTCTTTAAAGCTGGAATGTACAAACAAGATTTATTTTTTGGTAGGGTTATTTCAATGTGGTTTAACTGGTTGTCTGTATAGTTAATGAGTTATTTAATTTTAGAAAAAGAGATAAAAAAATCAGCAGGTGACTATGATTATGAGTCATATTAAAAATCTTTTCTTACCATTTTGGATGAGTTGAACATGGCCTTCCAACAGCCAGAAGAGAGAATCGGTCACAATTTGGAAAAGATGTAGTAATTCATCTTTTTCTTCACCCTTAACACATATATAAAACCCCAATTTATTTCTCTGTAATTGATTTAAAAAGAGAAACAGACAGATAGACTTCTGTTTCTGGATCGAACTTGCTTATTTATGAGGTACATGATCTTGTAGACTTTACTTAATTTATAAAACTTGTGGTTACAGGCTAGCAATACCTTCTCTACTTCCTAAAATGGTTGTTAACCAGAGATAAATGAGACAATATAAGTAGGATAAGAATTACAAGTTGATACACTAGGATTTCTCAACACTGACTATGCATCAGAATCATCTGTGGAGCTTTTTACACTACATCCATGTACAGGACTTAGTCCAAACATACTGAATCTGAATCCCCAAAGTTAAAGCCTGTATTTTTACAAAAAGTTAAGTGTGTGATTCGGTTATGCCCCCCAGGGATGAAAATCACTGCAATATGCAAATATATAATGTTAGCATGTAAATCATTATTAGTGCATTTCAGTGGCAGCTTCTCTTCTGACTCCATGAGGGCACAGACCATGTTATTTAGCTCTCCACTATACACTCAGTGTCTACAACAGTTCTGACACATAGTAAATGTTCAATCAATATTTATTCAATAAACAAACGACAACTTTCTGCTTCTTTTCTGGAAAGTAGGGTGACAAATTATTCTAGATTGGAATATGTATCACAGTAGGAAATAAAAATAGATCCAACTCACAATTCTGTCATTTACTAGCCATGCTATTTTAGTGAAAAGTTGTAAAAGGCTACTAATATTTCATCCATGTTCCCACAGTTCACATGCTTTAATTGACCTGAATTCAGTTAAAGCTACAAAATATGCAACTATTTATTTAGTGCCAGCATCTCTCAAAATGCCAATGGAGCTCTTAGAAGTAGAATTTGTGACCTATTACATAGAAAGCATATATTCTAAGTTAAATTCTCTGCCAACAATACTTCCTATAATCAAACCACTATGCTGTCCACATTGTTTTTATGTCTCATTCAACCTCATTCTTATAATTTTTTAATTTGTTGTTTTTTGAATTAAAAAGTCATCTCTCTTAGGTTTTCTATAAGAAAATATCGGAGATCTTTTCTACTTTATTAGTCTGGGAGTTCTTTAAGTGCATGATTATATCTATTCCTCATATACCCAAAGCATCGGAAATGGAACTTAATATCCCATGGTGATTTAGTTATTCCCTTTCATAATTTACAGAAGTTGTTAATCTGCTCAATCTCTGATGTAGCAGTAGACCTACATGCATACAAGCCAAGAACTCTGGCAAGGTAAAGGAATTTCAGCCTTGTAGACTTAGCACTCCTTTTAAGTTCTATAACCAAATCAATCTAACTGACATTCACAGAACATTACATAAAATAACTGCAGAGTTTACATTCAAAATACAGGAAGTCCTTGCTTTTGTATGGTACCATGTTAATTTAAATTTGTGCATATGAAAACCTTTATGTGATTCTAATATGCATGAGTTTCAGTTAAGATGACACTGCACAAAGCAAACACTAGTTGCAATGGAACATGGACCAAAAAATATATGGAGGGCCATAACACAAGTCGGAAAAATTTTCAAAAGATGGGAATGATACAAAGTATGTGTATTACCTGACTATGACAGAAGTAAATCAGTAACAATAAAACATCATGAAAATTCTCAAATACTTGGAAATAAAGCAACACACTTCTAAATAACCCATGGGACAAAAAAAAAAAAAGTACGTATTGCATCTAGCACAATTTACCCAATAAATACTTGTTGGATTGAAATGACTCCTATGTTTGGGTTGAAATATTTTGACTAGAGAAGATCTGAAAAATCAAATAGGAAGTTCACCTTTATTCTCCTTCACAATTGGAGCTATTAGGAAAGCCTTGGGCCTAGAAAACAATACTTCACCATTAATTTAAGTAGAAGGTATGTTAGGAAGATGCTATGGAAATAACTATCTAATGGGTGCTACTCAAAGTTGAGTAGTAAGTCAGATCCTTCAAAAAGTCTTACATTATGCTTCAGCAAGCACTTTAAGAATTCTGAATGTAGAGATTCATTTTTTTATCCACTACTCATATTGTATTTTCAGCCAAATATTGCACATCTGAAAGATAATGTGGAATTTTACCTCAAGAATTAAACCATTTTGGCTACAAAATACAAAACACTAAACACATATACCTTAGCTGCATTGATGAAACATGTTTGTAATCGCCTCTCCAAAACTAGAAAATGTTCTGCAGCTGCTGGAAGTAATTCAGTGTAAAATTCCTCTGCATCTTCTCCCGGCTCCAAGCCCACACAGCAATGGCTGAAAAAGAGTAGAAGTTTGTGACTTGCTTTGTGTTAATTACAAATATCCGCTGAATACTAAACCTTCTACAGTCATTGTGCCTTAATGAGAATTTTCAGTATCTTTCTTTTTTTGCCAACCCAATAAAGAACTTTTGCAGGAAAATTAGTGTAATAATTTTCTGAAAAAGTAAACAGTGGTATGGACTTTGCCTATAGAGCCAGGACTCTTATGTCCTAAAAACCTACTAGTCAATCCCTCAGGAAACAATACACTTGGTTCACATGAAGAGAAACAAGGCAAGTTTTCAGTGAATGAGCTATAAACACTAAAAGCAATAGGATACTTTGAGAGACTAATTCATGGACATTTGAGTTAACAGATACATTTTAGACATCTGATAGCTGATAAATATCCAGGGTAGGATTAGTCTGTGGGGGACAGATTAGGAAATCAATTTAATACCATTTCTACTTTCCAATTTGTCTACTTTCCTAAAATCTGCAAAATATTTGACTACATATTCCTTATATCAAAAAGGGGAATAGTAAAAACCTAATTCTAGTAGGACCACTGTATATTAAAGGAGAGTCATTTAGAGAAATGGGTCATCTTGAAACTGCACATAAAATTCAGACCCTGGATATAAAATGAGTATATTCCCAAGTCTCAATAATAAAAAGTATCTGTGTAGACAGACTAATACTAAAAATAGTCCCCAACCCCAAAATGGTCTCTATGTGTGCTCCATAATGAATAAATACTGCTGCTTGAGGCTTTTCAACAAAATGTGCAGACACTGCAAAGCCAACGATGACTACATATTGAGTATGCTAAAAACTCAACTGGCTAATGCTCAATGTATCGTGTTTTGTTTTATTTTGCACACCAAATCCTCAAGTTAAGGGACTAATGCTCACATGCATCAGTTACTTTTTTTTCTTGGGTTCCTAAAGTTAATTATTTAAGAGTACCTATTTTGATTAAGAACATTAATAAATGAAATTATGCTTTCATACATTTACAAACATGGGGATTTCTAAAGACTTGGATTCCACCCCACAGAGCCTATCTCAATCAGTACTTTCAGGATCTAACATACATAACTAAAACAAAGACAAAAGCCTTGTTTAATTAAGAAATTAATCTAGAAAATTAAACTGTAAAAAAGAATATTATGTACATTTGTTTTTTTCTAACTGTATAAGCTTGAATCTGGACTTTACCTAGGAACAAATTGGGAATAAGCAGTTTTGAAAGCTAGGATCCAATTATGTACACTTTCAGTTACTTAACTAGGAAGTAGCTAAGGCACTGATTTATTGCTTCCTTTAAAAATAAGATTTTGATCTTTTTTCCCTTAATTTCTAGCATGGTAGTAGGTCAGTAAATGCTGCTTCTAAATTTTATTGGCAGAATTTGAGCTACATCATGAAATAGATAGTTGAGATAGCTACATCAATACAAAATGAAATGAATAGTTTCTGTATCTGTTCTCCTACAGTACTTTGCTTGTGCATTTTATTTTAGCACCTATTTCAATCAGCCTTGTATGATAAGTTCACATAACTGGTCACCTCCATCTTAAGTTTTTCCAGTATAGAGCCAGTGCCTTAATATCTTCATTTCTTCACTTATTCCTTAGTCAGTAATGAGTCCATTAGGTACTTGGGATTCAGTGGTGAGCAAAAGACATGATCACCATCTTCATAGAACTTGTGGAGCAAAGTTTTTAAACAGTGAAATACTCACAAATATAGAGTTATAGAATGATAATACAAATAATATGAAGGACAAATATAACCATAACATAGGAGGTTGCCAATGTCATTAGGCAGATGAATAAAAAGAAGCAAATGTTGAAAATAAGAATCTATTCCTACATCCCTCAAGAATAAGCTGGCTTATTGCTTCATTTTACCTTATTATCTGTGTGAGTTGTGAAACTGTAGTCCAACCACCCTGGATTCGAGAACAATCTTGATTGAGGACCAAGAGGCAATACTGAATGAGGTCATAACAATATATATCTTGTTTTATTTTCTTCAACTCTGAACTTCCTAAAGGTGTGTTTATTATTTCTAATGCAAAAGAAAATAAGATATACTTATTTTTACTCAGTAAATCCAACAGTTGTTTGTATTTTTATAGGTTAAATAAAAATACATTAAGAAGGAAAAAAAACCACTGCTTTATCACAGTGTTAAGATTTTACTGAACAAAGTAGAAACAAATGCTAAAAGTACACCCATGATGGAACCATTTTGTTACTTAAACAGTGTTAGCCAATCAAAAGCTTTTCTTACCTTTTAACTTCAACAGTATAACAGGGACATTCTGCTCAGGACTTTTTGCAACTTCAGCAGCTAGGGACAAGATCCTTGGGTCTGTACCTTTTGGCTTCATTTCTCATACCACCTATTTTAACAGTGTCAGGAAAAATAAAGGTCAAACAGCCCTAAAATATTCACTCCCTAAATAATGTTTGACTATAGTTTCAATATACCTGAAAACTTAGCTTTGCTTGGCTTCAGAAAGGTAGATTTTTTTCACTTCTTCCTTATAGGAAACTGTTTTTCCTAACTAGTGTACCTCTAAAAGAGCTAGAGACCCCTATACCTTACTATAACAGCTACAGTAGGCATTGTTTACTTTGCACTAAGAGCCAGGAACTGTGCTCGGTACTACACATTCACTCTCTCTAATTCACACAACGATCTTAAGATAGGAATTGATTTTCTTTTATCATAAAAGAGAAACTGAGTGTGCAGAAAAGAGCTAACTTGGGCCCCAGAATGCAGTCCTTTCAAAGGTCTACTTACAAGGCAGGCCATTGGCTGGTGTCTAGAACTTGGCTTTCAGGAGGGTTTCCACTATTCCCTAATAAGAATGGCTCACTGTGCCTAAACTGTAAAAACAATGTGGTTTATGCCCAACACCATAAATTCCTGAGATAATTTGTCATGAATAGACATAACAGGAACAATGTGAAATGTTAGTTGTATATTTTTGGGCTCTATTTAGTGCATTAATCTATTTGCTCATTCCTAGGCTACAAGAACATAGTTCATTGTAATACATGTTGGAGAAAAATAACACTAGATAAACTTCATGAAGGCAAAACTCATACTATCCTTGGTGGCTGTCTTCTTATTTCTAGTTCACAGCTATTTCCCCAGAGGCTAAACTAGTGCCTGCATGTGGTAGGTACTTAACAAATGTATGTTGATGAATAAATGCAAACTTTTGGCATTTCAAAACTCAATTTCTTGACCCTCTGCTTTTCTTCTTGTCACAATATGGGAACTTTAGATTTCTGGTTAGAAGTCTTTTTAAAGTAAAACAGACTTAAAACATTGTCCCTCCTCTCTGGCTAACATAATAAAAGATCGCTAAAACAGTGTCATCACTACCAAACACAGATGTTAGGGTGCTGTGAAAGATGCAAGGGTCACAAAGGTTTTCTAAAAGACAGAGTCCCCAACTCATGTTCTGACTGGGAAGGAAAAGTATACACACACATGTATAAATGTATCTAAAATAAAGTAATTATATAAAATATGTTAAATGCCAAATAGATGACACAGACAATAAGAAAGCAGACCATAGTGAGAGGACTAAGATTCCTTCAACCACTTTTCTTATCTGTAAACAAAATAGGAATTCCTACCTCCTAGAATAATTCAAAATTTAGAAGAGAAGGTAGCCACCAAGAAGAGTCCTAAAATGTTGCATGACAGTAGTTAAGCCTCAATAATGACCATTGGGAGAGATTTTACTATGTACCATGAACTAACTGTCTTAAATGCTTTCATATGTTAACTTATTTAATCCTTTCAACAACTCTAAGTACTATTATATTTTTCCCAAGTTTTATGGTGAATGCACTTAATTTTAGTTTGTACGAATTCACACTGCAGAGCATGGAGCTGGGGTTCAAACCCAAAAATTATGACACCAGAATCAGACTGCCTATCATACCAAATAATCTTAGTACTCCTTAATAGGGCAGACTTTGGACAAGCTGACAGGTTGAGGGAGACACATTCATCTACCTGCCTGAAACAATAAATTGAAAAATTTGACTAAGGTGTAAATTAAGGGAGTAGAATTTGATTACACACTTGCTCTGAGAAATCACCACCTGTTAGGGCAACCGTTTGTAAACTTTCTCTTGGGCGCCTCTCCTCTAATACAACACTTCTCTTATCTTTACCATTAAACTCACGCCTTTCGAGTTACTGAATTGAATTACTGAATTTCGAATATCGAATTTTCCAATTATTAATATGATTACCCTGTTGTCAGAAAACGAGCTCTGGCCTTGATCCTCTGGGAATCTCTTCTTCTTGGCCGCGCCCTTACTGTCGCCACGGCTCACTAGGAAGGAAGACAACTCAATACAATGTAGTTGCAACTGACCCTAAACACCTGCAGTACACCCCGAATCTCTCCCCTCACGGCGTCCCCTGCCCCGACCCAACACCACTGGGAACTTCCTCTGGAACATGGGGTCAGAAAACGACTGCCGAGGTAACGGCGCCCCTCCAGTCAGGTCCAGGGACCGAGCCTCTGAGGCTTCTTTACTCCGATTCTAGACCCAGCTTGGGCGCTCCCAGGCCTGGCGTCCGGATTCGGCCCCTCCTCCAAGCCTCGGTTTTCACACCACTTCTGCACAGAGAGGGAGTCGATTCCCCTGTTAAGAGCCCCTACAGGCCGAATCACTTGGCTCAGAAGCTTGTGGCCAGGACCTCCCGGTACCCGGAGCCCTTCTCCTTCCCGCGCCGCCACCCCAGGTCCGTTACCTCATCCTTGCTTCGGCTTCCTCCGCCCAAGAACCCGGCTCCCACCACTCACCTGGGAGATGCGGCCTTCCCGGGTCGACGTGCGTGGCACCGCGGGAAGGAGCGTGGAGGCGGGACCAGGATTCTCAGAGCCAAGGGGCGGGGCGTCCTTCCCTAGGCAGCCAATCAGCACGAGAGAGGCGCCCGGGGGCCGCTCGCGTCTCGAGGGGGGCGGACCCTGGAGTTGCGGAGCCCCGAGTGACTGAGCCCGCTGCAGCAAGTGCAGCAGCCTTAAGGCTGAGGTGGCAGATGGTAGAGAGCGCGGTGGCCGGGACAGAGTTATCGGAGCTGCAGGATAATGATGAACGGAGGAGGAAGACTCTCGCACGTCGACAGTCGTGAGCGGGTTCTCAAGTTAGGCGAGAGTTTCGAGAAGCACCCGCGCTGCGCCTTCCACACTGTGCGCTGTGAGTGAGGACGACTCCGGGGAAAAGGAGCTCTGGGTATGGGTATGGTGGCACAAACCTCTCCATGCTGTGTTGCCACAAACCACCTTTCACTGCCGGAGAATGGGGTCCCTAGAGCGATCCACTGCCCTCCCCGCAGTCGAAGGGGTTGGTGGAAGGAACCGGCGTTGAGCAGGTGTGGGGTAAACCCTAGGCAGATAGACTTGACCAACAGGCGGAAAGGGAAACTGTGGAGGTCAACGGGGGTGACTGTAAAGACATACCTGACTGGTGAATGGTGCAGAGGTCCCAAGGAAAGTAGTATGGTGACAAATGCAAGGGAGCAAAAGGACCGAGCTACTATGCGGGGCAGGGGGAAATGCCTTGAGGCTGGTGGGGAAATACTTTCTCCTTTCTTCACTTTTTCTGTCTGTTGAGGGTTCTTATTTATTGTAAGTGTATTCCTGGGGAGAGACTCTGAACCATTCCAATGATCTATATGGCTTTTGGACTTCTTATTTCATTCAATTATCAAATACTGATTATGATTATCAAAATATTGGAAGGTGTGTTATTTAATTTTTTATTAGAAAATTACTTACTCCCTATGATTTCTCCTTTTTATTTCCTTTTGTTTTTCCTCTGGAAGTACTTTTGGTAAATTTTTCCCTTTTATGTTGTTGAGGTAGAAAAGGAGCTCTTTTGCTTTAATAGTTGGATGATGTAGATTCCAGAAAGAAAATAGACTTACTATGATTTGCTATGTAAAACATTCCTTTTTTGCATAATAACCCTCATAGAATCATAAAGTAGAAAGGAAACTGAGATCATTGAATCATAACCTCTTATTTTTCTGTGGCAAAGTGGTAAAGTAGGTATTTTTTCACTTCCTCTCCCCAGCCTTGCCCTTCCTTTGTGTCTCATCATTCCAGCGGTTGCATTCATCTTGTCCTTAGACTGTCCAGAGATCTTTATAGTTTTTAACTCTGAAGTGTTCCATGCTTCGAAGCACTCAGTTCAAACTCACATTCTCCAAGAGTTTAGTTAAGTTGCAGACAATCTAACTGTAGTAATTCAAAGTAAAAGTATAAAGATCAATAGGTCTAACTCTCCAAGGTTATATTTACACCTTATAAAAAGGTTTTATTAGAAAATTGACATCCAGTTGGTAGAACAAATAGGAGAAATATTTGCAGATGAAAGGTTTTCAACAGTGTTCCTTGTTTATTGTTCTTTACCAAACTCTGTCAACCAAGGCTCTCACAACGAGACATTTAGTGCTGGCTAGGCAGTTTCTTTCCTTCAGTCCCATTTTCCAAAAGTATGATATAATTATGATCTGCTTTCTCCATGCCTTCCTCTCAAATAGTATCAAGTTCCTTTCCTCTTCTTTCTCAGGTATCCAGTAGTCTTCATATTCGTTTTTCAAATTACAAGATTTAAGATTAGAAAAATTTGCTCAAGAATATATTTTCATATAACTGGCATATATTATCTTTTTAAGGGTGTGAACCCCAAATTAAGTGAGTAAAAATAACCTGTGAAAAGCTTCTTGCAGGTGTTTCCAAGTCTTTCATTCATAAAAGTTCTCAACATGCTGGAACTGTGTCTCCAGAGTCAGAGAATCAGATGATCCAGCTACAAGAATGAAAGTAAAAATAAACAAAATAACAATAACAACAACCACAGTAAACCCAGATGTTTCAATATGCTCTCTGTCCTTTGGAAGACATAAGAAAGGTTTTCAGCCCTGAGTTTAATTCTTGTTGAAGCAGGCAGACTCTTTCTAAATTTATTTAAATAAAACCAGTCATTATCCTTGAAGATAAGTTCATTTACCATGTGCTCCTCACTCTTAACTCAGAGTGAGGGATGGAAACTGTAAAATAGGAGATCTGCCATACAGGGTGGATGGACCTAACTTATAACACTCAAGTCAAGTAATCTGGAAAAAAGTAATATTCTATCTTTATGTACAGGGGTAATTATGCCTGTCTAATATGCTTAGGCTTTGGACAAACCTGGATGTGAATTCTGGCCTCCACCAACTATATATGTAGTTTTAATTTGGGAACATTCTCTAAGTATTCAGCCTCAGTTTTCTTATATGTAGTACAGTAATAATGGTACCTACATTTCAGAGTCTTTGAAGGATTAAATAAGATAGCATAAACAACCTCACACAGTATTTGGTGCATGATAGAGAATAAATATAGTTACTATGATTATTGAAGCATTATATTCTTGTGTGTATGAGAAATGCTAATGAATGAAATTTAGTTAAACCCACAAAAAGCATTTATCAGGGCTTGGCAATAAGACCTATCAAAAAGATACTCTGGCATGTGGTAGGGAAGACATGGGATGTTCTATAAATAAGCTAAATGCATAGCAGCAGATGCTTCACTGGGTAGAGAATGGAGTAACAAGACTTGCTAGAATATTTTGAATTTGGGCTAGTACTGGCTTTACAATTTATATCCAGATAAGAGAATAAACATTGGAATTCCTAAGTTTGCAAACAACATCACTTTTTGCTATCAGGAAATGATGAAGCCTCAGACAATCTTCCTGTAGTCACTGCCCGAGAGTTCAAGTGGAGCTACTTCCCAAAAAGTGGTAAATACCTAAAAACCAAGGTCCTTTTATAAAAAAATCTGAATTACCAGCTTCTCTCTAAACATCATAATATAACCTGGCAACACCAAGCCCATATTCCTCTTGGCAGCAGTTGGCTGGGGCCAAGCTGTGAGGGTCACTCACTATGGTTCCTGGCAGTCTGCTTTACTGCCTTGAGTTACCATCTGACCTCTCCTCTAAAGCATTATTCAGCTAAATAATAAAAGTTAGTTAGATAATGGTGATGCTACCCATTATTGTCCTTTGTGTCACTGGTGAAAAAATACAGGAGATTAGAGGGCCATGATTTTACTCTAGGATGTCATTGTAATGTTTTATATGTTTATCATACAAAATTCTTTATTGTCAAATACTAAGTAATGGGTGCCCTCTGTGAGAATAGAAGTGTACTAGTCAAAAGTACAAAAGGAATACAGCAATACTTACCCTAAAGAAATGAGAATCTTCAACTAAAGATTAATCTGAACCTCAGGAAAAAATTAGAAAGCACTCTTTTAAACATAATTTAGCTTAAATAAATTTATACTTAAAATAAGGTTGGAGTGGTTCAGAGAAGGGTCAATGCCAGAGTCAGTTACAAAGATCCTTTATGTACCTGCAAATTTAAAGGCATTTTGCTAAGGGTCCCAATTCTGGAGGAATTAAAATCTGAGGCCTTGTGTTTAAAAAACGTACAGTCCAATAGGGCATGACCACAAAGAGGTACATATTATCAGGTACTTTATATTATATTTTGATGGGCAGTATGGAAAATGCTACAGAAGTGGACAAGAAATTGAGATTTTTGAAGAGTACAGAGAGGGCTGCATCCAGAGACTGCTTCAGGGAAGAAGGACTTCGAAATAGGTTTCAAATTCTAAGAGAGCAAAACATGGAGAAAAGCTGAAGGACAAGCTGTAGGTACTTTGACAAGTTAGTCTTTTGTAGACTGAAAACTAGTTCTCAGCAAGAATGGAGGGAGATGGCTTGGGAAGATATTATAAAAGAAAACATTATGATTAGGTGACAGTGATGACAAAGAGGGAGGAATGTTTCAAGGAATACTTACACTGATGAGCAGAACCTTGAAGAATAGTTAAAATTAGAAAGTTGAGCACATTTTAAGACCAAAAAGTATGACACCTGCATAGGCCATGATGATGACTACACTAAAATACTTTAAGTGGCAGTTACTTCATTTCTACCATGTAGATACTTAACATTCTTTGTTTTTTAGGATCAAAAACTTGAAGTTACCTTCTTTCCCCACTGATATTGATATCAGTAAGACTGATAACAAAGGGTGTTGGTCAACCCCTCATCTGTTTATTCTAGCTGAATTTTATGATTCCTTAGTCTAGCTTTAGCAAATATTAATTGCATGATCTGGCCAAGGGATTTAATTTCTTTCACCCTCACTTCCCTTATCTGTAAGATGGGGATATTCACTGCTTTACAGAATTGTTGTGAGGATTTAAGATAAAAGTAATTGGGGGGTTACCACATTATTTCACCCTCTTGTTTGATATCTTTGCTCATTCTCTTGGATTTTTCTGTCTTTCCTTCTGCCTTCTATTTTCTTTTTATTTCTGTAATACTCAAGGCTCAGTTCTGATTTTTTTCTTGAATATCACTGTCTTTTCATTAGTTGACATTAACACTTATTTCCCTAATTCCAAAACTTCTTTCGAGCATCCAAAAATTAACACTGTTATTATCCTTCATCTTTCTCATTACCATGATGTTACTAATAAACTCCCCAATTATTTTCAGCCTATTCTTTATCCTCATCACACTTCCTAGGGATATGTTACAAGTCAAACTCACATTTTTAATATTGCTTACATTACATTTTCTTATGTTTCTTAAAATCTAGAACTACACATCCATAGTTATTGCATGTATTCAGTTTTGAATTGAAGCTGCATGAAGAATACACCATAATATAAATAATACTTTGTGAATTATTTCTAATCACATGTGTTTAAGGAACATGAGGAGTGGATAATATCATTTCCTAGAGTTGTTAAGAGAATTAAATATGACATGCTAAGTAAGGTGCCTAGCAGGTAGCAAGTGTTCCATAAATGTTAGATATTATAATTGTTATTGTGGAGCAAGGCAATCTTTA